ATCTATCTATCTATCTATCTATCTATCCAGCTATCTGGAACTTTCCTAAGTTTATTCAGGCATCCCTTGTAGAATAGACAATAAATTTTAGTATCTTCAGAGCAGAGACAATATTGGGTCTACTTTAACCTGTACTTTATTTAGCATTCCTAAGCACACTTGGAACATTTATAAATAATTTTCTTAAAGATAATGTTCCCCCCAGATATGGGGATACCCCAAGACCTGGCCTGAGCCCTGGTCTGGAGAGAAATATCTAAGGTCACTCACTACACTGGGTAAGGGAGGGTTATTTATTCAAGAAATATGACAGGCAATGTCTTGTGAAATGGTCTAATTAAAAATATGTCCCTCTCCACTGTCAAAATATTGGTTTTAATCAAGGCCAATTAGTTTTGAAGTGGAAACAACATGGAAGAAGCTAAATCGAATCCCATTTTAATAGCTTTACTAAAAGCAATGGTAGGTTATATTGTAAGTGAATTTGGTAAGCCCTGCAGGCTGGGCTGAGTAAGAGGATATGGGCTTGAAGCCTAAAGGAAAGAAATTAGACAACAAAGGCCCATCAAAGCAGATGTTTCAGCCTCCAGCTGCTCCTTGAGCCAGGAGTACCCATTTGTTAGACTTCTCACAGGGCCTCTGTGACCATTTGCCTAGGGAAAGAACAGGTGTGCATAACCACCTACATTCTACTTTTCTCTGCTTTTCTCCTTCCTGCCTTGAAGCCCTGACTCTACAATGAATCATCTACAAAGCAAAGGAGCAAATCATTCTTAAGTTCATTAACACATACACATATCCAAATAACTCTGGGTGATGATTTTTTTTTTTGCTGGCAGATATGGAAATTTAAAAAGGCAAACTCTTGCTAGGAATAGTGGCATATATCTATGATCTCAGCAACTTGGGAGGTGTAAATAGGAAGATCTCTGTCCAGGCTAGCCTGAGTAGGAACTCAAGACCCTATATGAAATATAACTAAAGCAAAAAGGCCTGGAGATAGAACTCTAGTGGTGGAATGCTTGTATAGTAAGTGTGAGGCCCTGAGTTCAAACTCCTATACTAAAAAGAGTCGAATTGAACTTCAGCAAAAAGTACTTTTTTCAGACTAAATATAAGTGCTTTTTTATATAACTTTTCTATGACTGAATCAAATCTTAATTCCAAACACTATCAGTGCAAATTTTTTCTTTCTTCTAATTAGAGAATAATTGCCACTAAATATATCTCTATAGGAGCTAAGTGGAAGAAACTTACAACTGCTCTGTTCAATGCAGTAGTCATTGAACCTGTTTAATTAATTTAAGTTAATTAAAGCTAAATAAAATTTAAAATTGAGTCCCTCAACTGCACTAGCCTTATTTCAAGTGCTCAATAGCCACATAGGACTTATGGCTAAGTATTGGATTTACAGATTATTCCCATCACTGGAGAAAGTTCTACTGGACAGTGCTGATCTAGAGAGGGCTATTTATAAATACTATGGAAACTGCTCATTTCTTACTTGGTAAAAGTTCTGAGTCCTACCTACTAGAACTGGCTTGACTCAGAATAGTGTAGGATTGAATTTGACAGTAAATACCAAAGATTCCATTATTATCTTAAAATATTCCAACTGACCTAAAATCTCTTTGTGTTAAGATTTTCTATTACCACTAATGATTTTTCCCCAAATCTAAACATATCAGAAGATATTTGGACTGGGTACCAGTGGCTCATTCCTATAATTCTAGCTACTCAGAAGGCTGAGATCAGAGGATCACAGTTTAAAGCCACCTTGGGCAGAAAAATCCATGACACTCTTGGTGCTGGGAAGGTGGCTCAGTGGTAGAGCACTTGCCTTGCATGCATGAGGCCCTGGGTTCTATTCCTCAGCACCACATAAGCCAAAAAGAAAAAAAGCCAGAAGTGGTGCTGTGGCTCAAGTGGTAGAGCACTAGCCTTGAGCTGAAGAGCTGAGGGACAGCGCCCAGGCCCAGAGTTCAGGCCCCATGACCGGACCCCCAAAAAAAAAGAAAAAAAGAAAAAGAAAAATCCATGAGACTCTTATTCCCAATTAACCAGCAAAAAGTCAGAAGTGAAGGCAGGGCTCAAATGGTAGAATATCAGCTGAAAGGGAGAATGAAAGGCCTGGAGTTCAAGTCCCAGTATTGGCACAAAAAATATAAAATATTTGATTATAACAATAACTTGTTCAAGTGCCAATGATTTGTGTACTTGACTAAAAGTGATTAGACTAATTTTAAAAAACAAAAAATTTGGGATAAAAGTTTTATACACATACCCACACATATGTAGGGAAATACTTCTGTTTTAGTTAGAATAAGGAAAGTACTTACTGCACATCAGGATCTAGTTCTTTCATCAAATTGGAGCCAGATTCAATAACAGACTTTGTAGCATGTTTGGAGAACTCTGGCTCACATTCTTTGGACCTCACAAAAACCACTCAGTGAGTATTGGTTCTTAGTGCTGCAGAGTCTTCTTAAGAAGAGGAAGATGGACAGGTAATAGATTATCTTATTTGTCTTGCTTAATTGGCAACTGAACGGATTCCCAAATGGCCAGATTACAGTGACACAAATAGCTAAGATTATGAGGCCAACTAGCCTTTCCCCTCTCATAAACACCAAGCTGCCTGTTCATCTAGCTGCTTCACCACAGAGGTGTGGACCACAGCAGGAACCAAGAGAGGAAAGCAAAGTGCCTGCCTCTTGACCATCATAAAGCAGGCAAAGTGAATGTGCATGTGTATGCACATATGTGTGCATCCACAACACATACCCACACACACCCACACACACACCACTGCAAAGTCATGTGAGCAGGATTGTAGTAATTCTACAATAAAGAATGATCATATTCATGGGAGAAAATCCATAGAATGGCTATCTCCCTTCCAAAGCAACTTGTGTGAAAGTCATTTGAGGAGAAACACAAAAATTGAGCAGTTACTATCAAGACACCATACTGCCAATCACACCAATCCAAAGAAGAATGCAGATAATGGCCAATTACCACAAACATGCATTTTTCAAATATTTTCATATGTCTGCTCCAAGTCATAAGATCTGTCAGTCAATATTGCCAGCAAAATTTCTTCATCCTTTTATTTATTATGTCCAGCTTGAGAGCTTCCAACATGGGGTGTTTGCAAAAAAATTATTAAATAATGTATATATAAAGGACACATCATTAAAATTCCTACCCTCACATTTCCTGTTCATTAGAAGATAGATCGGGTTAATCTTGGAAACATGGTGTCTCCAGGAAACAGGAAAGGAAAAGTTGAGGATTTAATTCTTGAAAAGTTGAGAATGTAATATTCTTTGATCTGAAATATCACATATACAAGCCTAACAATTTTTCCTTGAACTATAAAGTTTAAGTAGGTCAGCTTATTACCAGCTACTGTGGAGTTTATACATCCACATTCCCCTACCCTTTTGATGAACTGCGGCTCAGAAAGGAGGTACAGCCCTGCATTATTAAACCCTGTCTTCCATTCAAGCAGAGAACTGAGGAAACAGACACTAATCGTGCCCTTGAGGCTTTGTTACCACAAGAGATCCCAAGAACCCTTCTGTTCTCTGTTCCTGTTAAGGTAGCACTCGGTTCTCTAGCAGGATGCAGGTAGAAGTCACAGCACAATCTCTGCCTTCCCTTCCACCCGGACTAACGTTCTCACGTTCAAGTCACAACCCTGGCTCAACCGACGAAGATCTGACCGGCAGAAACCTAACCAAAACGACCAGTGAAGTGCTGGGGAATAAAACAAAGTGCTCTAAAAAGAAAATGATAGAGGTAAACGGAAAGGGAAGAGGAAGGAGAAAAGGAATAGGAAATGAAAATGGGGACAGCCCCCATTCTCGTCTTGATTCATCTGAAGGAGGGGAACACCACTCAACAAGGGTTCTCTCCATCATCCCCAAAGCTGATGACTTTTTAAATGACCACAGATGACCGAAGAGCCTCGGGAAACCCACCCAGCGCGGCCTCCTGGGGAGAAGCCGGAGCCCCCTCTTTCTTCCCCGGAGTGCGCGCCCCAGAAAGCGGACCGAGCCCGTGCGTGCGTCCGAGCAGAGCGGCGAGCGGAGCAACTTCGTGCCTCCTCGCCGGCTTCTCCCCGCCGCTGCCCGGCCCGGGGAGCGAGCCCTGGAGGTCAAACGCGGGGTGGCGTCTCCCAGAGTCCACCCGGGTCCGAGGGATGCGGCGGCGGCGGCGGCGGCGGGCGGGGACACCTGTCAAAGGGCCGGGCGGGGGCCGCGGCACTGCGGCGGGGACCCGGGAAGCCGGCCCGGCGCTCGGGGCGCAGGGCGAGAAGCCGGCACCGACCCGGAGTCGCGATCGCCGGCGCTCCTGGCGGGGCGGCCCCGGCTCGCGACACTGCGGGGAAGGTGCTGGAGCTGAGCGGGTTCCTCCGCTTCTCCCCCGCAGCCCGGAGGACCCGCCGCCTGCCCAGCCCCGCTGCAGTGCGCGGGTCTCCGCCTCCGGGCTGCGCGCACAGCCGGCGGGCCGGACGCCCTCTGGCTGCCCGGCGGCCCCCGGGCGGAGCAAGGTGGGGGGCGCCGCGCCTACCTGCTGGGGTGCGGCGGGCCGCGCTCGCCCGGCGGGGCCGTGACCTGCGGCGGCGGCGGCGGCGGCGGCGGCGACAGTCGCGGCGAGGAGGGCGCTTCCTTCAGGAAGGGGTGGGATCTGCCCTCCCGGCCGCCCGGCCCCCTCCTGCCGCGCCGGGACCCGCCCCCGACTGGTCTTGGGGTTTCCCCCCACCCTCCCCGAGTCGAGACTCAGGCCACCCCCACCGTTTCCCTGAGCCCTGGGGTCCCTCCTAGTCACCGGGGCTGGAGCCGGGCGCGGGCGGCCGATCCGCTTCCTTCCCCAGCCTTTGTGGATGCCTGGTTTGCCTGGCGCTCCTCGCCCAACAAAAGGCAGGAGGGAGCTGGGCGCCTCCGCCGGGTGGTTATTTATTCCTGACCTGTTGTCACCCTAGGTCCGCACACCTTGGGTTTGGGCACGGGGCAGCTACGGTGTTCCTGCCCCCCAGGCGGGAGGTAGCTCTCCGCCGCTCCGTGCGCTCCTGCGGTTTCCTTTCATCTTACGGAGCCAACTTCTGACCCTGGCAGTGCACGCGGGGGGACTTCAAGGCGGCCCGCCCAGAGCCCGCCTGCTTCTCTCCGGGTGCCCTCCTAAAACTCCATTCATTAGCATTTCAGTGACTTGCCCAGCCCAGACCCCCAACATCGCCCTGGCACCTTGTCCGTGACCTCCAGCAGGAGTGTGTGTGGACCACCAGGGCCATGGTTAGCACAGATTCCTGGTTAACTTGGGTTCCCATTGCAGCCTGGCTGGCCTCCGATGGTCAGGATTCTCCCCCCGCCCCCCCCCCCCCCCGCCCCTGCCCCTTATCAACCTGGCTCAGTAGGTCTATTCGTCTGCAGGCCTATTTCCTTGAAACTGTTATCTCTCAAAGCACTGAGTCTAAGGTTCCTCTCCAATGCGGCCCATTCCAACCCTTCACCATTCGTTTCCAGAACTCCCTGCGCCCCCACAGCGCTCCTGATGACTGTCTAAGTATGGGGCTATTGATTTCTTGTCACCGTTCTGTCCTGACTACTGGACTCTTTGCTTCTCAGCTCAGGGAAACTTCTTGTTAATCCAGTCAAAACAACAAAACCCAACATTTAGCCCTTGTCTAAAATCTCCTGCAAGTACACACTAAATTTTTTGGGTACTTTTCTGAGGAGAATAACTGGTTTTTGTCAGACTCTCAAAAAGTGACATATGACTTCCACAGCCTTAAGATTGCTTAAGTCCCACTATGACCCCAGCTCTGATAATAACTGTACTCCCTGACCTCTATGCCTACACTTCTCTCTGTCTCTGTCTCTCTCTTTTGGAGACAAGGCCTCACTATGTGGCCCAGGCTGATCTTGAACTTGTCTTCATTCCTCAGCCACCCAAGTGTGGGGATTACAGGCCTGCACCACACTCACCTGAACTTGGGTATTCTGATGAAGAACCACATAAGATTTTTGGTGTGTGTGTGTCTCTGTGTGTGTGTGTGTGTGTGTGTGTGTGTGTGTGTGTGTGGTACGTGCAAGTACCAGTACTTGGGCTTGAAGTCAGGGCCTGAGTTCTGTTCCTTAGCTTTTCATCAAGCCTGGAAACTTATCACTTGAGCTCCACTTCTGGCTTTCTGGTGGTAAATTGGAGTTAATAGTCTCACAGACTTTCTTGCATGGGCTGGCTTTGAACCTTGATCATCAGATCTCAGCTTCCTGAGTAGCTAGAATTGTAGACATAGCCATTAGTGCCAAGCTTATCTGTCCTTCCTTCCTTCCTCCCTTCTTCCCTCTTTCCCTCCCTCCCCACCTCCCTCCCTCCCCCTCCCTCCCCCTTGCTTGCTTTCTCTTTATTTCCTTGTTTATTTTGTGCTAGTCCTATGTCTCAAACTCAGAGCCTGGGCAATGTCCTTGATCTTTTGTTCAAGGCTGCTGCTCTACCACTTGAGTCACTTCCAGCTTTTTAATGGGTTTTATAATTGGAAATAAGAATCTTACACATTTTCTTGCCTGAGTAGGCTTTACACCATGATCCTCAGGTCTCAGCTTCCTGAGTAGGATTACAGATGTGACACCAGCACTAGGCTTTTTGTGGGGGGGGGGGCAGTCCTGGGGATTGAACTCTGGGCCTAGGCACTATCTATGAGTTCAAGCATTTCACTACTTGAGCCACAGCTCCACTTCTGGCTTTTTTGCTTCTTTTTCTGAATATCATGGACCTTCCTATGACATTTGGCTTCAACCCATAATCCTCAGATCTCAGCCTCCTGAGTAATTTGTATTACAAGTGTGAACCACCTGTGTCCTTCTTCTTCTTCTTCTTCTTCTTCTTCTTCTTCTTCTTCTTCTTCTTCTTCTTCTTCTTCTTCTTCTTCTTCTTCTTCTTCTTCTTCTTCTCCTCCTCCTCCTCCTCCTCCTCCTCCTCCTCCTCCTCCTCCTCCTCCTCCTCCTCCTCCTCCTCCTCCTCCTCCTCCTCCTCCTCCTCCTCCTCCTCCTCCTCCTCCTCCTCCTCCTCCTCCTCCTTTTTCTTCTTCCTCTTCTATGTATATAAAGATTCATCTCATAACTTTAAATGGCCAGGTTCCAAAATGCTTTAGGCTAGGAGGAAAGGGTCAAGCACAGGGTTAGAGACTGAGGTAGAGGGAACAAGGTAGAGGGCTGAGGATGTGTGGGAGCCCAGAACTTCTTTGGGGAGCAGTTTTCAGGGCATACTACAGGAAGGAGCTAGGAATTGTGCGCTATTCATCTGCAAACTAAACTGTCCAGCACAAGGGTCTGTACAAGTGAGTGGTGGCTGTGGTTTATCTGATAGCAGGGGTTTTCTTATCTAACTGAAAGCATGACAGAAAACAGTTAGAAAGAAACTCTATATTCTTGCTCATTTTCTTTCTCTTGGGCAGACAATTGGTTATTTTTATGATTCAAATAATTTCCCTTATTGATTAAAAAAAAAAACCCTAACATTGAGAAACACAGCTTATAAATAACATTCCCAGAGAATCTGGAAATCCCTGCTGCTGCTGAAATTTCAATGAATCTCATTTTAATAAAAAATCCCTGTATTACAAAGTTATTGCCAGCCCTAATCCAACAGCCCAGTACTTCAACCATCATATAAAGCTTCTTCAAATGGTATTTGATTCTTTCCAAAATCTACCTTTTTAAAGAGAACCTCACAAGAGCAATTGGAAAGAGAAAGGAAATACATTTGGTAGCAGGATGTTAAATAGAAGCTATTATTTGCTCCTTGTTTGGTTGGTTGTGGAGCCTGAACTCTGGGCCTAGGCACTGTCCCTCAGCTCTTCAGCTCAAGGCTAGTATTCTACCACTTGAGCCACAGCATGACTTCTAGCTTTTTCTGCTTATGTGGTGCTGAGGAATTAAACCCAGGGCCTCATGCAGGCAAGGCAAGCACTGAGCCACCTTCCCAGCCCCTTTGCTCCCATTTTGACAGAGCCCCTAGATAATGGTTAATACTCTTCTACTCCAAACAGGTGCTGGATCACCTCACAGGGATTGCAAAAGAACATCCTCTCAACCTCTGTTTCTTATATTTAAGGGTAGATATCAGTGCTGGCCATAGGCTGTAGATATAGAAGGCTTGTGTGGAGGTCATAGGTGTTACAAGAATCTCCTCCTTTGGGGGCTGGGAAGGTGGCTCAGTGGTAGAGCGCTTGCCTTGCACACATGAGGCCCTGGGTTCGATCCTCAGCACCATAAAAGCAGGGGGAAAAAGCCGGAAGTGGCGCTGTGGCTCAAGTGGTAGAGTGCTAGCCTTGAGCTGAGGAGCTGAGGGACAGCGCCCAGGTTCAGAGTTCAGACCCCACAATCGGACCCCCCCACACACCAAAAAAAAGAATCTCCTCCTTTGCTCCCACTGTCAAAGGAAAGCCTGCCTCTCTCACCTTAGACCACTCAAAGAATTCAGTCTGTATCCCCTGCCGTTTTGGGGAACACTATGGATTGGTGTATGGCTCATGCCTTACAAACCAAAACTGGCAAAAAGAGTCTGGAGTGTTGGATAGAGACGCTCCTATAAAACCCAAGTCTAAGAGAGTGACACAGAGTGGGGTTAACTGTGAGCCCACTTAAGAGGACCCTTGGAAAACAAAACAGACTTCGGGCAGAAAGAGGCCAGAAATCTGCCTCTGGATGCCCAAGGCCCAGGACAAGAAGTCGAAGCTGTAGTCTGAAGCAAAATGAACTTCCTGCACCAAGGGAATGAAAGGATGGCCAAAGATTCCTCATTAAGCATATTGGCAAAAGGTCCAAAGAGGGGATTGAGTGGTATTGGTGGTGAGTGTGGTTCTGACAAGAAGTAGATATTTACTGTGGCTCCCCAAAATCTGGTAGAGCCCTCTGAAACCTTTGCAACTTTTAGCTTTTGTTCCAGAGGAGACAGGGAGTATGCACAGGGTACCTGCCATTACTCCTCTCTCCCTGTGAATTGTAAAAGTGTTTTGTTTTCCTGCCTTCCTTCCTTCCTTCCTTCCTGCCTTCCTGCCTGCCTGCCTGCCTGCCTTCCTTCCTTCCTGCTTTCCTTCCTTCCTTCCTTCTTTCCTTCCTTCCTTCCTTCCATCATTTTCTTTTTTTGTGTGCTTGTACTGGGGCTTGAGCTCAGGGCTAGAACACCGTCTCTTAGCATTTTTGCTAAAGACTGACACTCTATCACTTGAAGCACACCTCCATTTCTGGTCTTTGCTGGTTAATTGGAGATAAGAGTCCCTCAGACTTTTCTTCCCAGGCTGGCTTCAAACCTTAATCCTTAGACCTCCATCATGTGAGTAGCTAGGGTTAATGGCATGAGCCATCAGGGCTTGGCTATTGTTATTATGTCTTATTTCAGCCTATTAATTGCTGAAATAAGACTGCCTTTTTTGGCTTAAAAGTAAAAGATTGTTTTTTGTTACTTGAGAGTGATACCCCCCTCAAAGTCATTCATTCATAATGGAAAGGAAAATGATAAGTCCCAGAGAGCAGATTTGCACAGGGCTGATGGAGGAGAATAGAGCTGGATTGTGATTCTACCCATGCATTCTGCTGGCTCAGTGTATCCGTAATACAGAATTCCATATCAGACCTCAAACCTCTGAGGAGGTCTCCTCCAGCTTCTTACCTGCATCACAAGCAAGCAATGTGTCATGAAATCCCCTTTGTGTGCATATGAAATATACTTTGAGCTTTCTAACCAGAAAGTCAGAAGGAAAGAAAATGCATTTTGAAGAAGCTGGGGTTCCAAATGTTGCCCTAACCTTTTATTACATAACTGTTTAGAGGTTCCTTCATCTCTCAAGGGCTTGGATTAGATGGTTGCCAAGGTCTCCTTCAATCAGAAAATTCTATTAAAAAATGATTCAGAATCTGCTCTACTGGGCTCAGCCCTCACACAAGATATCTGGTGTGGGAATGCTGCAGTGCTTTGGGGTGATAAGGACACAATATGTCCACAGCGAGGTCCTGACAAGCGCAATGATACCTTCCTTTGGAGATCAATATATGTGGCAGAGGCTTC